TGAACAGCTGAGTACCAGACTGGGTAAATGGGCTGATGCTATCTCCATCTTAATTTCATCCGAGTCTTTTCAGTTTGGGGAAGGGATTTTCCTTTTCTTACACGATTTAGGGTAAGCTTCCAGAATCCTTTAAACAGGCGTAGTTTTTTCTCTCTACATTCCCCCCTCCCCCCTTTTTTAAAATAAAAGTGCTGGAAAAGTACTTGATATGGTCCCAATACACAACACACATTCTCTTCTCTGGTTCTGATTTAGGAAACACATCTAGGTTAGTAAGGTTTTTGCAACGTTAGGTTGAAAAACATCTGCTGATCTTGGAGACCAGTTAAATATCTGGCACTTCTTTAAGCTACCTGGCTTTCCAGCTCCACAGCCTTGAGTCCTTGCCAGCGTATTTTTCATAATGTTCGCGTTTTAATTATCCCCAGTGTTTATGGTAGTCTTTGGAAACTTGAAGTGGGAACGTTTCTCTTCATTGCACCGGGGTCTATTTGAAGGTGGGGGCAGGTTGTGGCGGGGAGGTTTGGGATTAGCTACCCCCATGCTCCGCATGTAGCTGAGTGCTGGAAAGTACAGGAGCATACGCTTAACGTGAAGAGCAAGAGCAGACCCCTTTAGCCGGGCTCCTTGTGGTTCAGGTTAAATAGTGTCACTGCGCGTCTCTAAAGTGCTGTCTCTCCCGGGGCAGGAATCGGCATGGCACGCTCTCCGAGAGCTGCTGTCCTTTGGAAGGGAATGAGGGTGTCGCTGGGCTGCCTGCCTTCCAGAAGGCTTGTTGTGGCTGTCTTCTGCTCCCTGACCCCAGCTCTGGGTCAGCGGAGCACCGAGCAAGCTGTGCCTGGTGTGTGCGGGGTCGGAGAGAGGCCCTGGCAGCGTGCCGAGACGTCCCAACTGTGCGGGGCCCCTGCTGCGGATATCACGCTTGTCGTGAGAAATTCGATGTGGTGCAAGGATTTGGACAGCTGGGTCTGAAGGAAGGTGGCAACGGAGAGCCCCATAAATGGAGTGGTCGGATCCTGATCCATCAGTATTTCTGGGAGAGGCTGAAAGAGGAGGTGTTTCAGTCTAGTGCCCAGCTCAGTACGTTGGACTGGGCTAAACAGAGTCCTCTGAGGGACTCTGCCTCGCTTCTTCCAGTGCTCTTTAGATGATCGAGGCCACTACCAGCACTGCCAGTTGCTGAGGTGCTTTAACTACCTGTCCAAGTCCTGCAAGAGCCTTACTGGGACAAGTGATAAGCTCCTGTCACCCAGGTCTGGTTTTGACCATCTGCAGCCCAACCCCTGCTTGCAGAGAGCCTGTAGGTCCCAGCCCTTTGCAGCTTTCCCTGTCCTGGGGCTTCAGAAGGAAACTGTACATCCCTTACAAGTTTTCTAGTTTTCTTCTGGCTTGGGGTTCATCCTGGTGAAGGACTGACAACAGATTGCCCACAACAGAGTCCTGTGCCTTCCCTCATCACAAATCTATCAGGTCAGGTGCTCCCCAGGTGGCAGCCAGCGAAGCCATCCCTGAGGGACCTGGATTGCTTGCTGCCATGAAGGGCAGCAAAGGCTTTCATTAGCTGTGGTGGCCGCTCAGCAGATGGCACCACACCGGGCACGGCTCTCCCTGAACACGTCATTTTGCTCACAGGAGGGAACAAGGCTGTGAGTACTTTGAGGAAGCAGAAACAGCTAAAGACATTTTTAATAGCTAACTTCAGCATCTAGTGTGTACCTTTGGAGTAGCCAACAATAATACATTCAACTGAGCTTCTAGTACAAGAACCTGAACCATTATCGTCTCTTTGCAAAGTCCTGTGCAGAGCACAGAGAGGGTACAGAGACTGCAAACCGATGGAGACAATTCGTAAACCCCAGGCCTGTCTTTCAAGCTCGCTTTTCTCCTGAATTTCTCTGAAGCACCAGGGAATTGCGTTGAGGCTCCTTGCATGGCACGATGTTTCTTTCTCTAACTAAACGTTACAGATGGAGCACAGTGGTGCAAAACAATTGCTCTGGGGTTTAAAAAATCCCACAATGCTGGAATGAGGGAAGGTGTATGGAAACAAGTGGGAGATCTATTTAAAAGGGATAATAGAAAGTGCGTTTTAGACAGCAAGGAATTTGCTGCCACAAGAAATGGTGAGGCAGATATAGTATCAGCAATTTCAAAGGGATTAGAGAAGGTAGGGAAGGATGTGTGCTCTACCATCCCCAGTCAATGGCTGTGGATGCTAGGAGAAGCGTGAGGTGAGCGGACTGCAGATAGTGGCCAGGCTTGTGTGCTCCCCCTAAAGATTGTTTTTCCCTGCAACTGCTGAAGCACCGTTCGTGGGAGGAGATGCACCATCCTGCTGACCTAGCAGACCGTTACCTGTATTTGTGGGATCTTGGTGTAGCTGGTGGGAGTTGTCTATGCAAATGAATTTCTTCACTCTTTATTAGTCGTTTGTCCTCCTAACTGCTGCTGAAGACAAGTATGGCATTGCTTTGCGAAGAAATTCACTCTGCAGGCTTGGCTGATGCATGCATTTATTCAAACTATGGACATGTGTTTCTGGTCACTCTTGTCTTATGGCAGAATAATTTCATCCACCCTTTCACAGGGGCAGTCTGTGCTGAAGTCCTCTGTTCTGGTGAACATTGTCCCCCTGTAATGCAAACACTGTTATGGACGTAGTCCATGTATTAGTTTACTGTGGGAGTCACTGTTGGGCAGCAATTTTACATCCTCCAGTTGCTTCTAAACTGTAGGAAAAAGCTGATGACCTCCAAACCAAACCAACCATCCTAGTGACGAAGTGCATCTACTGCACCTTGCCGTGGGTCTTTGCTGGACTTGGAGAGTTTTTCTCTCCCTCTGGCTGTGTCTACATTTGTGCTCCTGTTTGGAGCAACAAAGGAGCCTGGAAGTGAATGTCGTGGTCGTCTCCACTCACTGCATGTCACTTTGGATGGCAGAGCAGTTTTGGCACACTCTAGCTAGACGCCTTTGGAACGCTGACCCAGACGGTCTGCTCCAGGGACACAGCAAGTGTGATTCTACCTGGACAGGGACATGGGAGTCTGAACCAGTGATGGCTCCCTAGAATAGCTTCCCATCAAAAAAT